TGGTTGCCATTATAACTGTGGCTTGAAAGAATTCTTTGTTTTTGTCCAGGCAGGGACTTTTGGTGGCAGCCAGCAGGGGATCAGAGCTGTGCAGTCATGGAATTCCAGGTACGGGTGGCACCACTGGAAGTCGCAGAGCAGGAAGCGAGGAGCGTGGGCTCTGGAGTGTGGCAGGCAGCGCTGACATCACTCCACCTAACCCTACGAGCCTCCTGCTCCCAAGCAGGCCGCTTGTTCTTCCCCTGCCTCGCAGAGGGGGCGCACTTTCTACCTCCCTGGGCTGCGGCTCGTGTTTGCTAACAAGGTGTTCAGTGTAATAAGCGCTGAGCACACTGAAGCACCGTCATTACCAGGCCAAGCTCTCCTTGGCTGGAGGACAGAGAGAGGCTCATGGTCTGTGGTGGGGTGGAGGCAAAGCCAGTCTTGACTGCTGTTCTGCTTGTGCCTCTTCCTGATTCTTTGGAATTATCTGCCCTACCACAGCATCTCCTCACGTTTTTAGCCAGCCATCACCTCCTCTCTAATCCCCTCCCCCATTATTCATTTCTGGTTTTGGTACCAGGAATCGAACTCAGGACCTTACCCTTGCCATGTAGGCTCTGTGTCACTGAGGCACATCCCTGGCCCATTGATTATTATTATTTTTTTTTCTGGACACCTCATTTCTCTGTCTGTCTGTCTGTCTGTCTGTCTCTCTTTGTGTGCAGGGTCTCACTACACATCTTGCATTCGCAGTGCTTCTCCTGATTTCTGCCTGCCTAGTGCTGAGATGACAGGCATGCACCACCACATCTGGACTTCACCAGCTCAGCGTGCCTGGGGGCGGGGCCAACATGGTATGGATCAAACCCTGGCCCCTGCTCTCGCCTGAGGAAGCACTTAGTCTGCTGAGCTGTATTGCCAGCCTTATGTCTCTCTTTTCTATTCCAATATCACTCAGTATTCATGGTCAGGACTATGTTAAAAAAGACATCTCATCTTCAAATAGTCACTATTTGGTAAAGTGATTGTTTGATATGCATTCATTTGATTTTTGCCCCTTAAATAAATATAATCGCACAGAGTTGTGACCCAACTCTGCTCTAACTGCCGTGTCTCTACTGTAGTCCCTGAGACCTATGGAAGCACAGCCCAGCCCACGCAGCCCCTGACACCTACGGAAGCACAGCCCAGCCCACGCAGCCTGACACCTAGGGAAGCACAGCCCAGCCCACGCAGCCCCTGACACCCACAGAAGCACAGCCCAGCCCATGCAGCCTGACACCAGGGAAGCACAGCCCAGCCCACGCAGCCCCTGACACCCACGGAAGCACAGCCCAGCCCATGCAGCCTGACACCTACG